CTAACTAACTACTAACTAACTAACTAACTAACTAACTAACTAACTACTAACTACTAACTAACTAACTAACTAACTAACTACTAACTAACTAACTAACTAACTAACTAACTAACTAACTAACTAACTAACTAACTAACTAACTAACTAACTAACTAACTAACTAACTAACTAACTAACTAACTAACTAATTAACTAACTAACTAAATAACTAATTAACTTACTGACTAATCAACCAACTAACTAACCAAACACTTTTATCGCACGAATAAAGGACAAAGGAAAAATATCAGGTGAGCATCTTCCGGACGCTCAGCGGAAATAAAGTGGGTGACACCTTTTTATTTCTCTTCCGTGTCCATGGTCATGGTCTTTATCACAGTTAGAGCGCAGGTGGAATGTTTCGTCATCTCGTTAAGAGAAGGTCGGTATTCAAGAATTAAGGTTGGTGTGGAGTAGACTATAGTAATAGCCATTAGAGCTAAATCGTCTAAGATTCCACAGCTGAGTGTCCGGTAATTCTTTTAGGCAATTGAGTCGCGGGTCGAGGATTCATACAGAGTTATATGCCATACACATGATCTAATCATAGAGTTTAGAACAACTTCTTCAGTCATTAGAGCAATGGGTAGCCAATTCATCATCACCAAAAGAGCCTTAAACGGAGTGGTGCAAAGGCAATTGCTCTGCGTTACGAAGTCATAACACATCTGTGTGAAATTTTATGTTCATATGATTAAAATATTTTCGCAATATAGAAAAATACCACAATCTCATAAATAATATCAAAAACATTTACTTTTCTAATCTGAAAATATTAAAAAGCGTTCAAAATTATTTACCTTAACAATTATTTGTATTTCGATTTTATTTAATTATAGTTCATTGATCTCATCGGCATCATTCATATGAAATAAATAATTTATAATAATGACATTATTCAACATTAGCTCAATTATTCACACTTGTTTTTGTTAGTGTTCCAGAATAAAAGCTTTATGTTAACGATAGAGAAAAAGCTCTCTCTTTTAATGTTAATTTCCATATTGTCAGTAGTAAATGCTGTTAACCCTGACCAACATTACGTTCAAGCCAAATGTATGTTTGTTGGTAGTGCCAGTGTCGAGTCGCAAATTTAAAGTTCACTCACTGCTCATTTACTTATGTTGAACATTGAACAAGTTCATGATCATGGTCATTTCGCTTGGTTGGCATGATCATTTAGTGTATGTGCGCTGTTGTTCGTTCAAATAAGCTTTATTTTTGCTGTTATTTTTCGTGTGTGTTTTTGGCTGTTTGGTTGGAACTGGCAGCAGTTTTAGTACCAGCACCCATAAGCAACAACGACAACAATTTATGTATGCACTTTTTATAACCAAACTTGTGTGCAAAAACACTCGCACACACACACACAAGAGAGTAGAGTTATTTTCAATAAAATTTACAGTTAAATTAATAATACGGTAATACAACAACAACAAAAACAACTACTATTGCAACAAATGCTGCAGCAGCAACTACAACATCAACACCAACAAGTACTAACTACTTGTACACTGCAAGTGAGTAGACCAAGTAGCCAAAGCAGCCATTTAGCCCAAAACATTCAACCATACCAAAGAGGAGTGAGTGTTTCCTTTTTTTTTTTTTTTTTGAAAAAGACAAGACAAGAGTAATGCGTGCATGTATGATGAAGAAGATGATGTTTTTCGTTGGTTTTTTAAATTTTTTCTGGTTGGAAGTATGAACCAGAAGAGTTTTCTTTTGCTGCCTACTTGAACGGTCATTGTACGTTTAGAATGAAATGCTTGGTTGAATTATTCTTTTTTTTTTAATAAACCCCAGCTAAAGAAACGTCATCGTATGTACATTGTTCATGTGTGTATTTTTGACGGAACAAGTATATGTCTGTTGGCTTGTGTGGATTTGTAATGGCTACATGATGATAAATGGTGGCGTTTTTTCGGTTTTTTGCAAAAAAAAAAAAAAACAAAATTTAACAAAAATTAAATAAACAACAAGATAAAGATTATTTTTCTTTTTAATTTATGTTGTTGTTGTTGTGGCTGGAAATACATATATATTTTTTTGTTTGTTGGCAATAATCATTACAGCGTAACGTTAATTTTTCGACAGCCGCTTAGAACTTAGCAACTTGTTTGTTTTATGAAACCAAATTTATTTTGTTATCAAGTTCTAATGTTTGCTTCGAACATGTTGTAACATCATTAGTAGGTTAGAAGAGTTTTATAAACAGGTTTGAGAGAAATTTTCTTGAACAAAAAGAAATTACTTTCTCTAATGATCATTAGTTAAATGAAGAGAGTAGAAGAGTGTAATTATGTTTGGAAGAGCATAGGAAATTTTACAAGTGTTTTGTTTATTTTATTAAAAGAATATTGATAAGCAGCGGTTAGCAATGTATAAAGCGTTTTTTAAATAAATTTAGTATAAAAAAAAATTAACTTTGCTTCATTTTCATTCAGCTTAATGAAATGATGCATGTTTCTTAAGTCTTTTGATTTTCAAGGAGAATGATATTAAATATGCTTGTGTCTTAAGTCTTTTGATATTTCAGGCTGTTTTTTGTTTCTTTTCAGATTTTTAATTTACATTTTCTTTTTAGAGAACATTTTCGATAAATATTCTTTTTATAGAAAGTTTTCGATAATTTTTCCTTTTTTATAGAAAATTTTCGATAAATTTTCTTTTTATAGAAAATTTTCGATAAATTTTCTTTTTATAGAACATTTTCGATAAATTTTCTTTTTATAGAACATTTTCGATAAATTTTCTTTTTATAGAATATTTTCGAAAAATTTTCTTTTTATAGAACATTTTCGATAAATTTTCATTTTATAGAACATTTTTGATAAATTTTCTTTTTATAGAACATTTTCGATAAATTTTCGTTTTGGAGGACATTTTCGAAAAATTTTTGTTTTGGATGTAATTTTCGATAAATTTTCTTTTTAGAGAACATTTTTTAGGGAACATTTTCGATACAATTTCTTTTTAGAGAACATTTTCGATAAATTTTCTTTTTAGACAACATTTTCGACAAATTTTCTTTTTTATAAAACATTTTCGATAAATTTTCTTTTTATAGATCATTTTCGATAAATTTTCTTTTTAGAGAACATTTTCGATAAATTTTCTTTTTATAGAATTCTTTTAATAGATATTTTTCGATATATATTCTTATCGATAAATATCTTTTTGTACAAAATTTTCGATAAGTTTTCCGATAAATTTTCTTTTTATAGAACATTTCCGATAAATTTTCTTTTAGAGAACATTTTCGATTAATTTTCATTTTAGAGAATGTTTTCGATAAATTTTCTTTTTATAGAACATTTTCGATAAATTTTCTTTTTAGAGAACACTTTCGATGAATTTTCATTTTAGTGAAAATTTTCGATAAATTTTCTTTTAAGATAACATTTCGATAAATTTTATTTTTAGAGAAAATTTTTGATAAATTTCCTTTTTAGAGAACATTTTCGATAAATTTTCTTTTTATAGAACATTTTCGATAAATTTTCTTTTTAGAGAACATTTTCACTAAATTTTCTTTTTAGAAAACATTTTCGTTAATTTTTTTTTATAGAAATTTTTCGATAATTTCCCTTTTTATAAAACGTTTTCGATAATTTTCCTTTTTATAGAACATTTCCCATACATTTTCTTTTTATAGAAAATTTTCGATAAATTTTTTATTTATGGAAAATTTTCGATAATTCTGTCGATAGCAATTTTTTAATAAACATTTTGTATTTATATTTAAATTCTCGACTTATGGGGATGATTCGATAGAATTCTTTATTTATCAGAATCAAAGTCATTATATATTGATGTTAAGTCCTCTAGAAAACGTTTTCCAATATTTTGAAGAAAATTAAATTTTAATAACTTACAGATTTAAGTATTGACAAATAATTGCTTACCTGAAATTAGAAGAGAAAAAATAATACAAAGTTAGTTTAAAAATTGTAGAACATAACAGTATTTGGTAATAGACTATATACTTTATAAAACCAAATTTAGCGTTTTTCCCAAAACCTCTCTTTTAGCAACACTCTCTAACTACTGATAAGAATATTAAGCAAAAAAGAGATACTATAACTTTCTTTTAGTTTAGATCTCTAACATTTCTACTAACACTAACGGTCTCTCTCACTCTCTTTATGAGCTCTCTATAACTAACAACACTCTTTATAATAAATAAAGGCTCTCTAAAATACTTTTTCGAATTATTTAGGAATTTAATTTTTCATTTAAAAGAAGACACCAAGAAAGAAATACCAAGATAAAGAAATATTTCTTTACTTTAGTGTGTAAATCATGCCTGCAACATTATTTCAAGTTTTTCCTTCTATAAGTTCTAAAGATTTTGTCTTTGTCTGCTAAATGATCATGGCAATAATTGTGGTTTGATCTTGTGGTCACAACAAAATGATGCTCTCTTTTACCACCACTACAAACATTCTTGTTAATGCCACTTCTTCTTTTGGTGTTTTGTTTTTTTGTAAGCAACAGGGAGTTGTTATGAGCAAGAGTTGGGGAGTTTAGCATTGCGTGTATGAGTTTGAATAAAAAAACTCTAAGTCAAACTTTAAAAGGCGAGCTAAAACCAATTGCCCGAAGATAGATACCAACTCAGCATCAGTTGTTGTGGCATATTTTCTAAAGAGAATTGGAAATGTTGGTTATAATTTAACGTCATTATGAGCTAGAAAATAATGATATTTGTTATTATTATGTTGCTGTTGCCATGATCATGATCACATCATAATGATGTGTTTGACGATTGAGCAGTAGTGTGTTGTGTAGAGTATTTCTGTTTTACCATTGTATGAGTGTACGTACTTACTACTTTTTTTAGTTTTTTTTTTTCTTTTCAACATTTATTTTCTTTCACAGTTCTTTGGGCTGTTTGTTTGTAAAATGTTGCAGATGAGGAAAGAAGTCTTCTAACTTATATAACAACTCATTACCTTGGCAAAAGACTTTAGTTCTACGTCGACCTTACATTGGTCAAGTTCGGTTACAAATAATTCTTATAATTTATTTGTTTTTAACTTGTTTTAAACAAAAAAATATTTATTCTCCTTTAAATTGATAAAAAAAAAATTTTGAATAAATATTTTTTTTTCGAAAACTGTATAAACAAGAAGTGTTGCATTGTGTGTGTTGGAAAATAGAAAGTCAAGAATTTTACTGTGAATTGTTTGTATGAAAATATAATTGAAAATTTAAATTTTTTCAAAATTTCTTGTTAAAAATAAGAAAAAAATTGTTGTTTTTTTTTTAAACAAAAAGTATTTTTGGTGCTAATATTTTGTTTTTCTTTAACTGGGCATATAATTTTAATAAAAATTCAAAATATACCAGCAATTTTTAATAAATGACAACAGGTGTTTGGAATTGAAGCATAAAAATAATAAATTTGGATTTTGAAAAAAAGTGCGAATTGAAAATTTTGAGCATAAAAATTAACAGTAACAACGAAACGTTTTAAAGGTGAGTGTATACAAATTATTTTTAAATTTTTTATAATTGTAATTATTTGAAAAATATTGACAAAATCTCAATAATATTTAGGAGATAAAATTTCAAATCAGTTGTTAATTTAAAGGGGTGAAATGTGATATTTATTCTTGAACTTTTAAATTCAATTCATAGTTTGTATTAAAAAATAAATTTAAAAGATTTTATGTTTTTTTAAATTTTTATATATTTTTAATTGATTTTTTTCAATTATACTTTAGAAAACTACAATATATTTATTTTTCAAATCAAAATTTGATTTCAAAATAATTTTGAAAATTTTCAACTTTTTCTTAATCGAGAATTTTACACTTTTAATTTTAACCCCCTTATTGACAAACAAAATTCTTATTTTATAAATGGTTTATAAATTAGATTTTGTAAGGAAATTTTGTTTTATAAACCTTTTATAAAATAAAAATGTTGTTTGCGAATAAGGTGGTAAAAAATTTCAGTGCAAATATATAGGCACTACTCTAGATAAAATTACAATTTCCTTTTCTTTCAATAATATTATTTCACTTTTTAAACAAAATTCTACTTACAACGCTCTAATTTATCCCCTCTGCCCTGATTACTCCCTATAAACTTTTCATTCTACAATATAAATTTTATATCAATAAAAAGTGATTTTTAATAGCTGGTATTTATCAGGCTTTATTTTGTGTCTGCTAAAGGAATCACTTTGGATTTTTTTCACTTTAAATTCCTTAAGCAGTATTGAGGCTTTGAAAAAATTTAACAACAGAAAACAGCAAAAACAATTTTTTTATTGAAAAAAAGTCCAACTACCAAACTCAATAAAGACAACTTGGACAAAGAAAATTGTTATAAGAAAATAACTAAGATTTTTATTATTACTATAACAACAACAAAAACTATTCATATAAAAAAATATATAGCAATTTAAAAGGTCTACTATAATCAGTGGTCGGTCACCTTAAGTATAAAAAACATAAAATTAAATAATACTACGATAATACACAAAAACATGTCTATGGGACAAATTATATAAAAACTTTGTTATTATTTTTTTATTATTAAAGACATAACCATGTATTTAAAAAAGTTTTTTTTTTAATAAAACTGAAATTATGAGTAAGATTAGGATTTTATATTTTTATAATCTAATAAATGCTGTTACCTTTGTTAATGACCTGCACCATCATGTTTGTACCTTTTACAAACCTTGTTTTAGAAAGAAATCAATACTTTTCTAATATAAGAACAAGAAAAAAATCAAAGCGTACAAAGAAAATTTATTTAAAGTATAAACTACATGAAAAAACCTAAAAATAAAATTTAGAAAAATTCTAGCTATACCCACTGTGCTTTGCTACCCTAAAAACAAAAAACTCACTTTATGATTTTGAGGATTCTAGCTGGAAGATGCCACGCTAACAGCTGCAAGTTCAGCCATTTGTTCCAAACGTTAAAATGGATTTAATATTCTAATAGCTTAACAGCTATACAATTTTCTCTATTTGATTTTTATGGGAGTTGCCACGCCCCCTATAACAAGTTCACCCATTTTGCCAAACTTTTATATAAATATCAATGTTACCCTTGCAAAATTTGAAGACACTACGTCTAACAATTTGCCAGATATACGAATTTGTGTATATAATTGCTATAGGAGGTGCTTAGATCCCCCGCCCTAATGAAAGCCCGCCCATATTCTCCGAACGTTAATATGAATTTGAATGTCAAGCTCTAAAAGTTTCCCAGATATACTAATTTTTGTATTTAAATCACAGGGGAAGTGTCAAGCACCTATTGTAAATCCGTCGATTTTTTTCTCCTAACTTTTTGCAAACTTTGGGGGATTATAGCTCTAGTAGTTTTAGTTGCTATTCCGTCCATTTGAAATATGCATATCGAACTAAAGTGGCTCCGAAAAAATTTTAGGGTTCAAGCTGTTTCAGTTTCTGAGATATGCGACTTTTAATAATCATTTTGTATGTGGGCGTGGCTCTTCGCCTACTTTAAATTACAAAATAAAAATTAGCCTATAGTGGTCCATTGACGCTAAAGTCGGACATGCCTTACGTTAAAGGCTTTTATAGGCGACTTTTAACTTGTCGAAGTTCTGAACAGTTTTGTTTTTTTGCCTCTTGAGGTACAAAATTTTCATAATTGTTTGAATACCAACTAAGAGTTTTTTTCCAGAGTGGCATGATGGAAAATCGGTCCAGAAATGTGAAGATATTCTGAGCTGTTTAAAGATTGTATAAACCCTCTTTTTATAGACACTGCGACATTGATATTTTTGTATTTATCGAGCCTGGTATCGCAAATGATGGCATCTTTTGCCACAATTAAAGAAACTTCTTGGGGTATTTTGTTTGCTCTTTTTTTTTGTCCAGCATTATTCTTCAACATTACCTCGTCCATCAGCCGCATAACAATTTTCATCCGGAAGTTGTGAAAAAGTTGTCCATAAGTCTCTTATAAGTTTCATCAGCCATCATAAAACAAGTGTATTTTTTATAAAATCTAAGCTCAATTTTTTGCTTTTTGCAGAGCTGTAGCTTTGGCTCTACCAACAAAAGAATCAGAGACTTAAATTTACAAGATACTTTTCTAATGCATGTCTTTGTTGCAGTTTGAAGCAGTTGTTCGACTTATTTTGACTCATCAATATCTGCTCGACCTTTTTTCTTCTCGATCCTGGTTTTCTTTCAATTTACAAGTTCTTCTTGTACAGTTTAATGACTATTGAAATGTTTTATGGAAAGCAAGTCAACAGATCAGTATATACATATACAAGTCTATAAATAGTAATGTTTGTTCAAAATCGATAAAATCAGGAACTACGGCACATTTCAAATATATATTTCAGGGATCGTGAAAAGTGTTCCCGTAAAGTTTTAAATTTCTTCGACAGATGGCGTCGAACCTTTCATTTTCAGGCAATTACACCTAAACCGTTAAACAAATCATTTAAAATTATATAAAATTAGAGTGGTATATAGATCTTTACGTGTAGAGTACACATGTCTAATCGAAGGCCTGCAACGCAGACAGGGCACCACTAGTCAGTCTATAAATTAGTCAATTTGTAGGATATTTTCTACAAACCACTCTTCATTTCTTATATTCTAAAATTCAGCTTGTTCAATTGCTTTGAATTATAAATTTTGATACGAAATTGATTCATTTTTCCATAATTTTCATAAGGCTTTAATTTCCTTCAAAAACATACTATCATTGAAATTGCTTAGAGTTAATCTATTTGCCTAATCTCTCCCATATCATACTGTAATCCTAGGTTTTTACCACATTTAATAATAAATAATTTTTTTTTAATATCACGCTATTAAAAAATCTTGGTAATTTATAGCCATTTTTATTAATTATAGAAATAATTGTCATAAAAAAATTTTTATAGTACATATCATGTTAAAGCATAAAATTTATATTTAAAAAAAACTTGTTGAAATACATATTTTGCATAAATATTAAAAAAATATATGACATTATTTCTTTGATTACTAAAGAAGATAAGGTATTTTTTTCAAGTGCGTATTTAAGCAGCCATTTTTAGCAAGATTTAAACACATTTATTTTATTAAAAGACTTGCGTGGTAACAAAGTGCAAAAAAAATGGTTTATAATCTGCTTATAAAATACAACAGAGATTAATTTTTGCACTTGTAGCAATTAAATTTTGGTTATCATTGATTTAATGGTTTGTTTAACTTAAAAAAAATGTCATGTTTAGGCTAGACAGACAGAGATGGTATCATATGTTAAATACCATAGTGGCTGGGGTTTATGGAAAATATAATATGTTAAGTTTGTAACGCAAGAAATTGGAGTTAAGGTTGACAGGTGGAGAAATAATTATGGAAAAAGGGGATAGAAAAATATGTTTAATAAAGGTAATTTGTTTTTTTTTAGTAAAATATTTAGGGAAATAACTTTAAGTTTCAGTTGGCTTATCATATTTTTAATAATTCTTGGATTAAAGTAAATTACACAAATCACGCTAATCTTAATACACGCATTCAAAATAATGTACTGTTGCAAATGGTCTGGTAAATTGCATTTGCATCTTTACAACACTCAAGATGAATTTGCATCTTTGCAACACTCAAAGTAGTTGTAAGGGTTCAATTTTTAATAAATATTCTATGTACACATTCACAAATAGCGTAGTGTTGCAAATGGTCTTGCAAATTCAAATCCTATTGATTTTCTCTGCAATCTAATAAGAAATCTCTCTCTCTTGCATTCGCCATCTCATTGCTACTTTACAAAACTCAAAATAGTTAAGGTTTACTATGAATGGTGTTGTATAATTGCAATGTTTGCTACATATTTTTCCATCCACAAAAACATGTACTTCGCAGAAAACCAAAACGCGCGAATTTACTACAGCATTGTTGTTATAAAAAACAACAACCACATGATAATTTCGCGCGTTTTGAGTATGTTGTTGTTGTTTTCAGCCGTTAACTTATATGTATAAAAAACTAAGTATAACATATTACAATGAAGTAGCATGTTGTGTTTGTCTATGTAATGGCAAACATCTCTCTTCGACAAAATTCGAAAAAAGTCAAAACCCTAAGACCAAGTTATACTTTTTAAACTTTAGGTAAGGATATCTCGAAAAAGAATGAAGATATGTCAGATGATAAAATCGACTTTCAGATAACATACAACATTTTTTTGTCTTGGGGTTATAACGTCTCAAAATGCGATGCGGGGATATACAGATTCGAATTGAGCTCATCTCAATTCTTTAGAAAAGTATACCTTGGTATCTGGGTTATTAAAGATTTGAATCCTGAAGATATGTGGGGTCTTTAGAAAATTGATTTCAACAAACATGAAGACAGACAGACGGACATTGCTTAATCTACTTCGCTATAGGAAAATTATATTAGGGAGATTATAAACGGTATAACAAGTGTCTTCACTTGACCTTCATTTCTCACGAAGGTGAAGGTTATCCCAATAATTCT